AATTGTCCTCGATACCCTTAGAAAAAGAGAACGGTAAGAAGACGAATACAAAGACAACGGCTAAAACTAATACGAAGATGAATGCGTTGATGGCAGAAAGTTTTTGCCTGAGAAGACCCCTTGTAAAATATTTCGAACAATAATTTTATAGAATATATCAATCCTCTTACCATGGTGGAATAATACCAGGTGAAGTAATAAAAGTGAGAAGGAAGATTTGACACTACCTTATTGGAAGTGTTCGCCCCTTAGATTTTTTTTAAAGTGTAAGGGCCAGAAATATTAAAAAGAATTTCCCGTTTTGACTACAAAAGGGGTAATGATTTGACGTTTTTATTTAATATATATACATACATAAAATTAAAAATTACTTTTGAAATATCCCTATTTGAAAAATAAAAGAGCCATTTAATTTAACTAAATTTAATCATAATTTATTATTTTTTGATGTATTTCGGAACGATTTTCCGTCATCCCTTGTCAAATTTGGTCACGGCGTTGTACCATCTTCAGTGTCATTTTTCGTTCGAAACGAACGAACCAAACCCAATTTGACAAGGGATGAAGGACAATCGTTCCACAATACATCATACTCCTACCCTGTCGGAAACACAACAAACAATAACTAAATTAAAACGTCATTGACTATACATATTTATACATGCATACAAACAGGGCATATCATTTTGGACAAAATTCAATCGATAAAAATACCGATAACAAAAACCTTGAATTTTTGGTTAAAGGAAACAAAAACAAAATCATTTGAGCGGTTTTCGAGCATTTTGGATATAAAAAATATTCAAAATTTTTTCAATAATTTTTTGCATTAAAATGCTCAATATCTGTTAAACTTATATAAAATTTGTACACGATAATATTTCTATTGCTCCAAAGAACCTATATCCCGAAAAGGAAAGTTTAACCTGCAAATTGTAAGTTGCTAGAGCACTTTAAAAGCTCGAAATTGACCCCAAAATAAACCAATGTTTACCGTTATTTTTACAGCAGAAACCGAATTGGTTGCTTACAAAAACGAATCTGTCAATAGGTTTGGAATTATGTCTTTGAAACGCCACACTTTTTCTTTTAAATCGCTTTATTAGTTCTCGTGCAATGACCGTTTTCGTAAAGCTCTAAAAATTACAACTACAACATTTGAGCATAGCCTCCATATCGAAACGTAAGTACGTTTAAAAATTCATAAAAAATTTCAAACTTGGTTTTAAGAAGTGTTACAACTTTTTATGAGTATAAAGTTTTATAACTCATTAAATTTTAGTGTTATCATGATAAAAGCATAGTAAGGTAAAACCGTTCTCTCAATTTGTCGGCCATGATTTTTTTTGAAGTTTGCCAACATTTTAAAATCATATAAAATTGAATATAAAAAAAAAGAAATTGTTCACAATTGTTGTTGTTTGAGATTGAAAATGAGAATGTGTGTGTGAGTTTGTGTGCAACATTTTAAAATTAAATTGCTTGCAAACGTCAATAATTTGAAAAATTCCTCTTAGCGGTTTAACCTTCCTATTTTGTTTATCATGAGTGTAATAATGCACAAGTTTTAAGGGGCTAAAAATTTCCGTTGATTTTTAAGAATTTTTTTTTGCAGAAGGTGTGTAGCGCTGCCACTGAATTTCAAAATATGTAAATGCTTGAAGAAATTAAAAAAGCACTTGAAAGGGGAGAATTATATGTAAATTTGTATTAAGCGGGGAGGTACTTAAAAAAGCGATTTTATTTCGGAACTTAAACGGTTTAGGTACTAAAGCGGGGGGTACTTAAGGGGGTTTCACTGTATTACAAAAAAGATAAATAATTAGTATAGATATAGATATAAATAAGTTCAGTGGCAACACATATTTCATCATTTCCGTATCANGGGGGTTCACTGTATTACAAAAAAGATAAATAATTAGTATAGATATAGATATAAATAAGTTCAGTGGCAACACATATTTCATCATTTCCGTATCAAAGTGTTTTGAGCACTTCCTTTGATAATATGTTGTGAATTCTTTCCAACATTAAGTTCGTCGTTAGGGTAGGAGACAACTTTTCAAACAAATTTTCCAGTAAAGCTCTGAGAAAGCTTTAGAAACTTTAGCTTGGGTTAAAGTCCCACACAGATTGGGTCTGGCTTTCGATGCTTCCTCAAGTTTTACATTCCCCCTGCGGCAAGTCTAGGCCACCATTCGTAAAATCCTATGTTTCTTCGTACATAGTTTCACTGTACTAAATATAGCAGATACTACTGTCGACATGAGTTTTTTACATTGTCTACGAGAGTAAATGGTAACGGTAATTTGTGCACAATTAACCCCAAAATAAATGTGTTCCTCGAAAACAAACACAAAATCCACTGTTTAACCAACGCGTGTTATATTCTAGTAATATTCATGCGATAAGATTTAAATTTATATCTAAACAATAATATAGTGGTAGGCGGCTAATCTTTCTTTGTTATCAAATATGTCTAGGTTAGCACATCTTTTTTAAACAAACTCCTCTTAATGAGAAGGCAAATTTGATGATAAGCTAAAATAAATGCCGATTTAAGTATTATTCTTTTAGTAGCGAGGCAGTCGAAGCTCTCAGCGTGTCGTAGCCAGAAGGAGCCACGGCCAAAAAAGTAAAATTCGTTAGTGGTGGTGCAGGATAAGAATGGTGACTATTTTTATGCTTTAACAACAAAGTTTCTATAAAAAATAAGGAAGCTAAATTTTATGTGCTATTTGAAATTTTTTGTTTGAAAATGTTGTGCAAATTATTTTAGGTCAGAACCGTTCAAGAAGAGAAGCTACATAAATATATTTACATAAATACAAGTTATGCTAGCCTATAAGAGCTTATCGAGCGTATTGTGTGAAATGCAAAAGACCGGCGTTATTGAGCAAATTTAGAAACAATTTTATTTTTGATCCTTTTTAAAGAAAATATTAAATTATAATTTTTTTTTCAATAACTAAAATACATAATGGAGGTAGTCATTTCCTGATACCAAATGAAACAAAATTAGCCAGAGTTAAAAAGTTTAAGTTTATAAATTGTTATTAGTTGTTAGTACATTCTAATCACAAATGTAGCTAAAATCTAGTTCTTGAGAAAAACGTTATATGGGAGGTAGTCATGTCCTTGCACCGATATTGCCGAAACTTCGGATTTTTCCTAATTCATTTTCATTTTCTAATTTCACTTTTCTCCGATAACTCCCCTAAATTGCATTGTCAAACTAATTTGGAAATAATCGAAAGGCTGGTCAATGCATTGAGCGAAGCTTGGCTGTCACTAATACAGACACGTAAACTCTTACTTCTACAAATATGTATTTTCCACCCCGTAGTCTTTAGCATGATGGGGATTGTGAATAGCCCGGCTTGGAAAGTATGTTCCTGAGAGCAGAGAAGATTTAACTTGTTCGCTCCCATATGGACTCCAGATCGTGACCCTGGGTTAGTTTTGTATTAGTTGTGTTATTTGTTAGTATTGAAATTAAGCCATCACTAATCTGCAGGGAACTCAATCTAATATATAAAAATCTCGCGTCACGGTGTTAGTGGTCGAACTCCTCCCAGACGGCTGGACCGATCTTTATGAAATTGTTTGTGTATATTTGGTAGGTATGAGAATCGGATGCAAAGTATATTTCATACCGCTAGGTGCATGGGGAGTGGCACCTCCCATACAAACCGAATATTTCATACTGCATATCTCTGGAAGTGTTCATGGTAGAGTAATCTAACTTGGTATGGAGATATATCAAACCAATCGCATACTCATGGAGAACAGTTGTGGTTATTGGAAACGGGGGCGTGGCACCTCCCATAGAAACCGAATTTTTCATACTGCATATCTCTGGAAGTGTTCATGGTAGAGTACTCTAACTTGGCATGGAGATATATCAAACCAATCGCATACTCATGGAGAAAAATTGTAGTTATGGGAATAGGGGGCGTGGCACCTTCCATACAAACCGATCAAATAATGGCATCGCATTGGCCGTTGCATCATCTGGCATTGCAGCAACTTTATTGGATGGAGGCAGGACAGCTCATTCAGCATTTAAGCTACCTCTGAATATTCAAAATAACCCAGACGCAGTGTGCAACATAAAAAAACAATCGTCAATGGCCACAGTGCTGAAACAATGCAAAATTATCATCTTGGATGAATGCACTGTGGCACACAAACATTCTCTTGAGGCTTTGAACCGAACACTCAAAGAGGCGGCGCTCTGTGACTCCTTTCAGGTGATTTCAGACAAACACTTCCTGTCATTCCACGTTCAACGTACGCCGTAGAAATCAACGCTTGCTTCAAATCATCTTCACTGTGGCGTAATGTTGAAAAAGTCCAGCTAAAAATAAACATTCGCGTCCAAATGCTACAAGATCCATCCGTTGACACTTTCTCGAAACAATTATTAGATATCGGCGATGGAAAAGTTACTGTCCATGAAAATACTGGCTGCATAAAATTGCCCACCGATTTCTGCACAATCGTTGATTCTCAAAATGTTCTCATTGACCGCATATTCCCCGATGTACGCACACAATACATAAACCACGCGTGGCTAGCAGAAAGAGCCATTTTGGCAGCAAAAAATGTGGACGTCGACGATTTAAACTTCAAGATACAGCAGTCGTTGACAGGCGAATTGGTATCATACAAATCGATCGATACAGTTTGCGATGCCAACAAAGCTGTAAATTATCCAACAGAGTTTTTGAACCCACTGGATTTGCCAGGCATGCCACCACACCTTCTACTACTTAAAGTTGGATCTCCGGTTATTTTACTTCGGAATTTGAACCCACCACGGTTGTGCAATGGCACTCGATTGGTCATTAAAAAATGTATGAAAAACATAATCGAAGCCACCATTTTGAGTGGCAAATTCCTAGGCGAAAATGTTTTGCTGCCACGTATTCCAATAATTCCCACAGACGTGCCAGTTGAATTCACGCGTTCAATTTCCTATTAGATTGGCATTCGCAATGACAATCAATAAGTTGCAAGGGCAAACGATGTCCGTTTGCGGCTTAGATTTGGGCACACCATGTTTTTCATATGGACAATTATACGTGGCATGTTCTCGAGTGGGCAAACCATCGAGCTTATTTGTGTTGGCTAAAGACGGACTGTCAAAAAATATCGTACACTGAATTGCCCTTCGAAATTAATATGGGTTTTCTTTATTTCATTTTTTCTACTTTATGCTAAAAAAATATATATATTAAATTTTTTACTTTACATTTAACATTTAAGAGATCCAACAATTAATATGTCAGTCGTTAATGAAATACATTGAATTGAGAAAATGAAGCGTTGGTGTTTTTTTTATATTTTTATCAGCGGTCCGTTCCTCTTTCTGCCATTGGTCCCATCTCCACATATCCGTTGGACCTTCATCAAAGAATGGACCGTCGTCATACCATTTCCCACAGCGCAACCCCAAACTCGGTCAAACCTTCACGTATTTGCTCGACATCCACGTCCTCAATGTCCTCAACGGCGAATAAGTTGTCTCCACTGTCGTCGTTACCGTCTCGGTATAGCTGCATCCGTAATCGAGTCTAGAATAGAACTGCGACACACAACAACCGCACACTTCCATCTTCAAATTTAATAGCTCTGATCCAATACTTTTCGTGAAAAATCCTGTAAAACTGTCAAATAGCAAAATTAATCTCTGAAGTGAGAGTAAAAAGTGAGTAACAACAAAAAGTACGGGAACAAAAACACCATTTTTCCTGTAAAAACGTCAACCAGCGATTGCTTGACACTTTTCATGATTTTACCAGAAGAAAAAGTTCGGGTAAAATCTTGCAACTTCATTCTTTACACAACTCTCCAAAAGTCGCTCTCATTTACAGGATTTTGGGGGATTTTGGAGTACGGGAACATTTTTCCTGCAACTTCCTGCAAGTTCGTGTAAAATCCTGTAAGTTCATGGAGTACTGGATCAGAGCTAATATTTCACTTACGATTTCTTTGATATCTCTGCCTGATCTTTTAGCGATCGTTAAAACATTCAAACATACTTACAATAATACATTCGTTATTTTTTATTTGGCAACCAAGAATTCACTAGAAACAATTTATATGGCAGAACAACGTTTGCCGGGTCAGCTAGTATGTATATAAGTATCTTATCGCATCGAAAAGGCCTTCAAGTCAACATCTCTGCTTTTAGCAATTTCCGGCTTACTCCGCACTGTATCATACCAGCATCCATTTCGTTTGGGTCCGCAAGTAGCCTTGGACCTTTCCGCCGATAAAAGCATTTAGTGAAGATAAGTTAAGCAATATATCAAAAATAGCCTTAAGTTATACCGCCAAAGGTCCGGTACAGCACATGGCGATGGATTTTAGAAGCTTAGCGAATTTAAATTCCTATGCTTTTGACTGAGATTCTGTTTCACTACAACTCAGACGTTAAGCTAATGCCTACCTATTCTTGCATTCCAGTGGCTCTCTGCGTGAGCATTAAACGCATCTAACTTACTAGCAGAGAGTCAACTCCATGCCAAAAGATCATGTTCCATACCTAAGATAATTTGCAAGAGCCGTAATACTTCAATATTTTATTCTACGCGCTTCCACAATAAGCATTTATTTTTAACCGACTTCCAAAAAAGGAGGAGGTTATCAGTTCGTCGGAATCTTTTTTTTTTTTTTTTTTTTTATGTATGTTACCGCATAACTTTGGACTCAGAGGTGGTCCCATATTAATCTGGTTGAGATCCGATCAGTGGATCATGAGATATATATATATATATATTTTTTTTTTATATGGGAGTTGAAGTCGGTTTTTTTTTGCTAAAAATTACTTGTTAACTCATATGATCAAACCTTTTAGGGTTCAAAAATTTTAATTTGCCTTCTGGCATTGGCAGCGCTAGCGGCTCAAGCACCTTCTGTTAGTGGCGCCAAAATACTTGCAGTCCACATATTTCCGGGAAGAAGTCACTATCAGATGCATCGACCTATGATTAGCGAGTTGGTGAAACATGGCCATCAGGTATATGCACACGTTTTGACTTTCATTTTATTACATGGAGTTAAAAGTATTTATGGTTAATTCACCATTAGGTCACCATGATCACCGGGCTAACACTAGAGCCACTCAAACTGGGCAGCAACTACACTGAGATACTCATTGAGCCGGAATACGATATCTGGAAGCTTGGTGAGCTTTTATGTCCTATCCAAACTACACCGACGATGGAACATTTATTTCTCGCTCGTTACAGTTAGTGAAATAACCGGATCAAAATCGAACGTAGAACTTGAAACTAGATTATCACTGTTTTTTAAAGTAATGAAGTCTATGGCGGTTGAGACTAGCGAACATGCGCTAAAACAACCGAAGGTACAGGCTATTATTAATGCCAAACAAACTGAGGGTGTCTTCGATTTGCTGTTAGTGGAACAGTTACAACAAGAAGTTTTTCTTGCCTTGGCTCACGTCTATAAAGTCCCCGTTGTCAGCTTAGTTACATTTGCGAAGACAACCTACATGAGTCAGATGTTCGGCGTAATTTCTCCTTGGTCATACGTGCCCATGGGACTCCTTCAATTCACAGAGCGTATGAGCTTTTGGGAACGCGCTGAAAATGCCCTTGATGCACTTCGCGTCGATTTGGATCGTGAGTTTGTATATTTTCCAGTAATTGATAAACTTGTGGAGAAATACTTTGGGCATTTACCAAGTAAGTATTAGACGTACATGGCATTTTCGTAAATGCAAATTTGACTGCTCTGCATTCTCTTCACTATTTCTTTATTCTTACTTTCTCTCAGTTAAGTTCCCCAGTACTTCTGCTATGGAAAAGAATCTATCTGCTATGTTCGTCAATAACTACACGCCCTTAGCGGCCGCTGCTCCAACAATGGATAACATGGTTAACATCGGCGGCATACATATCTCTCCACCGAAGCCACTACCAACTGATTTGCAGACATTTTTGGATGAGGCTGAGTATGGTGTCATTTATTTTAGTTTTGGTACACAAGTTAAGACCAAGGACATCCCATTGGAAAAGCTACAGATATTTATTGATGTCTTTCGCCAGTTGAAACAACGAGTGTTATGGAAATTCGATAATGACAGCTTTCCAAATTTACCCGCCAATGTAATGATTAAAAAGTGGTTGCCACAAAACGATATCTTGGCACACCCTAATGTGCGTACTTTTCTCTCACACGGAGGGCTTTTCGGCTTGCAAGAAGCCGTTTATCATGGTGTGCCCTTGTTGGGTATGCCGTTCTTCTTCGATCAGGTGAGTTGACTATTTTGACCAAAGAAACACTTCGTTTTCTAATTCACTTACATTTATTATTTTATCACCAGCGCACAAATCTGAATAAAGCTCAGTCTGCTGGATATGCCATTACTATGGATTTTCGAACGTTTACGCATAAATCTTTAACGCAGGGTCTGGAGGAGGTGCTCTATAATCCGAAATATCGTGATACTGCCAAACGGTTCTCGCGCATTTTCCGCGATCGCCCAGCAAGTCCGCGTGAGACGTTTCTCTATTGGATCGACTATGTGATACGCCACAATGGAGCGCGTCACTTGCGCGCTGCTGGCATGGATTTGAAGTGGTACCAATTCTATTTGCTCGATGTTGCAGCACTGGTAGTGGCTGCTGTGCTAGTGGCAGTTGGCGTTTCGGTTCTGGCACTGCGTTGGCTTTTAAAAAGGATTAAGGGTGCAAATAGTAAGCAAAAAGTATCATAAGGCAGGAAGGTTTCGTGTTTATCAATCTCAAAATCAAAATAAATTCGTAAAAAAAAATATGTTTTATCTAAAACTTTTAATATGAAATAGGAACGCTTTGGAATGCATACATGAAGACATGGTAGGATATGTGATACCAATATTTTTTTGTCACTTGGACTAGGCCCGGGGCCCTAGCTAGTGGTTGTAGGTATTGTTACAGGTAACCAATGCTTAAAAAGATTTTTTTCTGCCTCGTTTTTTTTGTCCGTAGGTGAATGCATTTATTTATTTACTGAATATACATATACTAGCTTATAAGCGCTGGTTTCGCCCACACGTTTTTGTACAAATAAGAAAAATAATTGAAACATTTTGTGTGCCCATTTTGCTATAGCTGTTAATTTTTAAGCGAGTTAAGGTATTTAGGCCATTTAAAACTATAAAAAAAAAGTTTGTCTGCACGTTAAGCTTTTTTACACTGAGAAAATAGTTTAGTCACGTCAACTAAATATGTTTCTCTCAACACATGGTTTGGTTATAAATAGTTACACTATTTGGCTATAGCTACCAAATTTTGTGTTGAGAGAAATATATTTAGCTGACTTCTTTCTGAGTGTATGGTACTATGAGAAATACCAGTCCCAGATATTCACTCAAGTTTAGAGTAAAATGCCTCCCAGAACACGCCGCGTAAACGTGTAAGCTTGCGGCAGCTGCCACGCTCGGTTTTTAGTATTACCATCGCAAATTCAGTAACCTGGAATTAAAAAAAAAAGCTGTACTGTAGCTATATGCATCCACAAGTATGCATCATGGGAATATTAGATTATATGGTATCTACATCCGGCATTCGCCGTTCATATTAAATTTTTTCTGTCAGTAGGTACGCTACTTATAAAATAAATCTCCGTAACAAATTTCAAATACCTCCAGAAATTTCCTGTATGAAAGTTACATATTTATGGGTGGGAGAACGAAATCTTTTCCAATAACTCCGACTTCTCTATATCTCTATTCTTCAAAAGATATGCCCTATGAAACGTTCTGTGTGTGTGAGGGAGGCGCCACGCCCACTTTTTCAATAACTCACATTTTTCTCCAAGTGCATTGGATAAACGTATCTCCATACCAAGTTGCAGTATCCTACCCAAAATACTTCCACATCTATGTATGCAATATGAAAAATTGTATTTGTATGGGAAGTGCCACACCCCTTAATTCCAATAATTTTCATTTGTCTTTACATACTTTCATGTTTCCATACCAAGCTTTAGACCTGTACCAAAAATAAAGGCCCATTTTTATCCATGCGTATGGAATACAAATACTTCCACAGATATTCGTGCAGTATTATAGTTCCAATTTGTATGTGACGGGCCACACCTCGTGGATTTATCCAAATTATATTCAGTGTATGAGTATCCTTGCTAAGTCTGCTGTAAGTGTGCCAAATTTGGCTCGGATCGGGAAAGGGGTTAACGAAGCAGCCAGAGAAAAAGGATTTAACATCTTTAAATTATACAGTCCATCAAATTTCAAGTTTTTTGCAACAGAATAACCTTAGTTTAGTTGTGAAAGGGGACATGATATTGAGCATTTTCGCTGAACAAAGCCATGACATAATGTAAACGGGGCAGTCCAGAGCTGGCCTAGGTCACTGGATTGGCGTAATGTAGGCGGAGCATTATTGCCACGAAATTGGTAAAAATTATCTTCTTGGAAGATTAAAATTAATTTTCTCAAAAACGGCAGCGCAATCAAAATTTCTGCGGATAGTGGTTGGCAGAGCTTCTCCTCCGATTTGAGGCGTGCGCCTTGATGTTGTCACACGGTTTTTCATGACAGAAATATACTCGGAGGATGTTTGTTTTTTTATGTTGGTCGGAAACTGGGCTTGAACTCTAGCTCTGCGGAATGGTAGCCATATATAAAAGATAAATATAGACTATACTTTCTGCTTTCTAAAAGTTTTAGACTTAAGAGAAGAAAATATAATGTAAGAGGATCAATAAATCGTACTAGACCGTAAATCATACTTAAGAAAAACCGTTCGTATTCGCCAATCCTATTAATTTTAAGTTGTGTATGGATCGGCGTAATGATAAAGTTAATGTGATTGTTGAAAGTAAATTTAGCATAAAAAACAACTTCAAGGTCTTTGATATCATCAAAAGTTTGCAAGGCATGGTTGGTAATCAGTGTTGCCATTTTAGCCGTTTTCCGGCTAGGTTTAGTCGGTTGCGATAGCAAACAGCCGGAGAAAATTCAGTTTAGCCGGCAGCCGATTTGTTAGCCGTTTTGAAAAAAAGATAGCCGTTTTTAGCCGATTTTGCTATTGGCCATTCGTTTTATTTTACTAAAATTCAAATATATAAGTTTCTATTTTTACAAATTTAGTGATCCAAAATCTATTAGAAATGGTTAGTCTTTTCTCGGAGAAAATTTTCAAGTCGGACTGTGTTATATAAAATTGAAAGACAATTTTTTCTAACTCGAAAAGTCTTCAGATAGTGAGCCGATTTCAATATTTTTTTTTTGTAAGCGAGTGATCCAAATACATATAAGCTGGGACGCGTCATTTTAGCTGATTAACAAGTTAAAAAAAATAAAAGAGCACGAATTTCGATGTAGAGCAATACTCTCTGGGAAGACAATGCCTGTGAATAATTGCATCATGGTTCAAATATGCTTTGTATTTATTTTTTTATTAATATTTCCGCGTTGGTGGCCTTCGGCCGCGCTAGAAGAAATATCCTCACCAGTCCGACTCCGGTTACACCATCCACAGTATTTTTAAGCAAAATCCTACAAATTTCCAAAAAAAAATTGCATTTTCCAAACAGAAATCTTGTAAGAAATAGGTAATTAAATATTCGTTAAGTCAGTAAACCGTGTCAGGATCAGACTGCGGGACTTGTTTTCTTACGTTTTCAATTTTATATTTTTGAGAGTAAACAAAATTTCTATCAGCTGTTCGTCTAACTTGCAATTTTCTGCAAATTTTCTGTTCGCGTACTATTTTGGATATTTTTCTCTTGTGAGAGAACAGATGACATTTCGCCGGAATTTCGCTGTTGCATATTTTTTACTGGCGCTTTAAACGAACGTACCAATTGAGTAACCAACATTTAACAGAACCGTTACGAACCGCTTTAACTGGCGTAAACAGATTTTGAAAATTTGGCCAAAGGCATCTTTTGAATTTTCTTTAATATCTATCTTACGTACATTAGAATACTTAATAATAAAATTAATGTTTTTCATTTCTAATAATAATTTTATTTTAAAATAAAGTTCTAGTTATTGTTGTTGTTTTTTTTGTGGCTCTTTGTAGCACTTAGAATTGACATGTGGCTCTTTTCGGCCATGGCCTTGCCCACCCCTAAATTAGTACTTTAAAAATTTACAATATTTTTTAATTTTTTTAGAATTTTTTTGAGTATGAAGTCTTGTGGCCCATTAAATTTTAGTACAATAAAGTACAAGTTAAAAGCTACTGAAAAATTGCGTTGAAATTTATTATTTTTTAAGATGACGGCGCAAAATCGTTTTCAAAGAATTATCGCCCTTAACCCTTTCCCTGCATTTGTACAATATATTGACCATTTAATTTTTTGTAATATTGGAAGCGTGCTACTAAAAATCTTATTAATATTTTTGAAAATAAACTAAACTTTATGAGTTTTGGAATGTTCCAAATAGTTTACGTATATTTCAAAATCAAAGACGTTTCAAAAATATTTTTAAAATTTATTTTAAAAATAGACTATTTTATAAAATTCCAGTGAGACGCAAGTTGTGGTAAGTAAAATCGCTAATAAAAGCACTTAGTATGAAAATATAAAAAGCGTATATAAAAATGCTGAAATTAAACTACCATGTTTTAAAATATTTTTCCCGAGTGGTCAAAAAAACGTACAATATATTGTACATTTACATTGAAAGGTTGCAAGTGTCTTAAAGGTTTATTAAAACGGGTCATTTGTATTTTATATTGTAATTTTATCTGGAATTTTTTAAAATTTCTTTATATAATTCTCTTCTCATGGAGAAAATTTATTTTTTTTTTAATTTTCAATGCAATAAACGCTTTGCGGACTTTTGTACAATATATTGCACAAATTTTAGGTAGCCCTAATAGTTACCCAAAACAAATTATGAATAATTTTTTTTACACATTTTGATATTCATCAGGGACGGATTTGACCGGAAAGGGTTAAGTACACATGTGTTTTTTTTTGCCAGTCATATCAGCAAATATGTTTTATTGCGACGCACTTTCTATCTACAAAAATTAAGTAGTATATCAGCAACTCTAGGCAAATAGTACGTGAATATTTCGTCTGTCAGCAGATAACTACTTATCTTATACTTTAGCAATGAAAGCCTAAGAATTTTGTCTAAAAATGTGCAACATAATTCATAACGATTGTTTCCTTGCCTATTAATAAAAGAACAGCTTTCTCAGGGTACACTGGCCAACGCTCTGAAAGTGAAATTATATAAAAAAAAATTACTATAATTTAAAGGACGTGTAGTTTTGATTGTTGCAGATAAGAAATGGTGACTAAGGAATTTAACTAAAAATTTAATTATATTTAGTGTCTTAATATGCTTAAGAAGTGCTTTAAAAAATATTCCTTTCATAGGTTTAATTCCTTCACATGCATTCTGTTATTTATTTAAACTTGTCTTATTTTACATCTTTTCAGCGCTCGAAACTTCTTTTTGGCCTCTTGGCGCTGGCTGCACTATTGGCACAAATAGGCACCTCCGATGGCGCCAAAATACTCGCCATCTATATACTTCCGGCCAGAAGTCACTATCAGATGCATCGGACGCTGATTAGTGAGTTGGTAAAGCATGGCCATCAGGTATACTATTTTCAGTTTATTTTTTTGGTGATAAAACCACGTCTGATTGTATATAGAAAAGTAGTTTCCCGATTTGCCCAGGTTGGCGATTTAAGGGTTTTTTTTTGTTTAATTTGTAGTTGATGGTCGAGGGTCAGCATTTAA